TCTTTCCATGAACAGTGTTTTTTTTTTATTGTGTGTGTGTGAATGACTTCTGCGCGCTTTTGTCCATTCTCATGTCTTATCTCAGCAGTTTTTGTATCCACACAGGAACCATAATAATAACGCTCAGATATAATGTTATTCTGCCAAAGTCAATGGATCTGAGCTGTAATCTGATTGGTTCTCTCAGGTGCTGACGCCGTCTTTCTAACAACTGTGGGGTTTCTTTCTCTACTCACTTCACAGCAACTGTACTGTTAGTTAAAAACCAACCAAACCCTCAGGTCCCGGCTGTAATAACACCAGTTCTGCCTGTTTGACGTCAGTAACGTCGTCGTTGTCGTCTCTCTCCTCACAGTTACCGTATGTACAGGAAAAGTCAGACGACAGGTTTCCCCTCCCTCATCACCATCTTCTCTGCTCCAAACTACCTGGACGTGTACAACGTCACAGGTCTGACACACACACACACACAAACACACACGTGTACAACAACATATTTGAAATACACACGTACGCAGAACGAAAACTAACCTACTGCGGACTAACACTGTAACACCGTGACATCGTTGAAGGATCATTACATTTTCAAAATAAACTTAGACTTTCTTCTGAATGAAGAGATGATCTTTTTAATGAAAGTAAAGGGATATGACAGGATTCTTTTTGAACGAAGTCAATCAGTAAAACTGAAGTAGATTTTTTTTTCACCGTGTCCCACTGCGGACCGGTCCCTGGACCGGGGGTTGGGAACCCCTGCGATATAATGTAACTGATGGTCGGAATTTGAAGAATTCTCTCATTCTCTATCTCTCTCTGTGTGTGTGTGTGTGTGTGTGTGTGTGTTTACAGCTGCTGTGCTCAAGTATGAGAACAACGTGATGAACATCCGTCAGTTCAACTGCTCTCCTCATCCTTACTGGCTGCCAAACTTCATGGACGTCTTCACCTGGTCATTGCCTTTTGTAGGAGAGAAGGGTAACAAACACACACCCACACACACACACACTACCACCGATAATGTATATATCACACTATTACAACCCTAAAAAGTTTAAATACAATTTTTAATACTAAACAAAGATCATAAGATCATAGCCTATTATGTTTTAAGTTTTATTTAAATAATAATAATCAATAATCAAATGTGAACAGACTTGTTGATTGTCCTGTTTACCAAAGAGGGCGCTAGAGAATTTTTTTTTTTTCTTTTGTAGGAGAGAAGGGTAACAAACACACACCCACACACACACACACTACCACCGATAATGTATATATTACACTATTACAGGGGGTTTAACTAAACTTATCTCCAGCTGAGGTGAAGGTCGTCGACTGTTGTGTTTCTGTGTTTCTGCCTCAGTGACTGAGATGTTGGTCAACGTCCTGAGCATCTGCTCCGACGACGAGCTCATGAACGACGGAGAAGAGATCTTCGATGGTAAGGAGCCGCCAGAGGTCCACGTTGTGTGTATTCAAAGGATGTGAATGTATTTCCTGTGTTTTTGGTCATGTACGGTGTTGTTTCACTGCGTTTGTCTTCGTTCCTGATGAAGCCAGTGCAGCTGCGGCGAGGAAAGAGGTGATCAAGAACAAGATCAGGGCCATCGGGAAGATGGCCAAGATGTTCTCAGTGCTACGGTGAGTTGAAGTGTGTGTGTGTGTGTGTCCACAGACCCCACAACCTTAAGTTCACATGACAGTGCCATTATGGTTGTTTTGCCGTTAGCAAGCAAGCGGAAAATTTGGTGGGATATGTGAAACAGGTTTAGTCTCGATCTTGGTATGAAATGATTATCTGTTATCAACTTGTTATACTGGTTTAGTGTTAAACTTTATGAAGTTGTTTGCGGTGTTACAGAAGGTTAGGTTAGAGAGAGTATCATATTATTACTGTTACTATGTGACAAGTGTAGCTTGATTTAATTTTTGGATAAAAATTAATTTTACTGTCACTTATTTTTTTATGATGGCTTTTATCAAACGCTGACTCAATGTATTCACACTTTCTTTGTTATTATCTTTGTCTTCACACACACACACACACACTTTCATTCAGGGAGGAGAGTGAGAACGTGTTGACCCTGAAGGGTCTGACCCCCACAGGGATGTTACCCAGTGGAGTTCTGTCTGGAGGCAAACAGACGCTGCAGAGTGGTGAGTGTTTTTTGTCACACACACACACACACGGACATAAACTTCTGTCACACACACACACACACACACTCACGGCAGGTTGAAAACACACGCAGCACTCAGACAGACCGCAGGCTGACGACCTGCTCTGTATCATCTCCCAGTTTTTTCTCCTGCTTGTTTCTCTCTACTGCTGTTTGGCTCGTCATCTCTGACTCAGTCACTCTCCTCTCCTCTCCTCACCTCTCCTCACCCCTCCTCACCTCACCTCACCGGTGCTGAGGATACTAACAGCCTGCTGGTACTGTTGTGTGTTTGTGACGATAGAGGACGTCCTGATGATGATGATGATGAAGTGTAGTGGTATGAGGTGCTGACACGTGTTAGACCTGCCTGAGATGCTAACACAGTGGAGACACAAGAAAAAAGAAAAAAAGAAAAAGATTTTTGATTCTAACCACTTAGCAAAAAGACTCATGTGATGGACTTGACACCCAGTGGAGTGGATGGTATTTTAAGAAAGTCTTTGCTGCTTTGAAGGTCTTTTTCTGGCTGGAACTGAAGCTCATTCACCACCCACTCCCACACCAGAGTTTACACAGATTTGTTTAGTTTTTTTTTGGCCTAAGAGACCATGTAGAAAATGGTCTTCTTCTACTAGTTTGATAGTTTTGATAGTCAAGAAGAATTCATGTAAAGTTAAAAACAACTAAAACAACAAGTGATAATGAAATTAAATATGAAAACAAGAACTACCTTTTCGACCTCGGCTACACGGGTTTGTGATTTATCCTAGTATTTTTCACCCTGTGTTTATATGATCTAGAGATGTTTTCTTAGGGTAAAGTGTGACACAGGCTTCCAGCAGGGGGCGTAGATTTTTGAAAAGTTAATGTAATATTTAACTTCATGACACAAAGGAACAGTTTTAGTTTCACTGAATCTCCTGGACTGTTGTTTTAGTTTCACTGAATCTCCTGGATCTCCTGGACTGACATTTTTCACATTAATAATTCCATCATTTAGATTTGTCAAAAATTAAAAACGGGTGATAAACAGTGACCTCTACCTGCTGCTATTGGACACGTACAGACATTTTGTTTCCACTGACATGTATGTACATCAGCTCATTTATCCTAATATGATGTCAGTTCCTCGTGCGACTACATGCAGAAAAACTGAACTATTCTTTAAGGTGATGTTACAGTAATACCAGGAAGGGTTGAGTGTACGTGCACGGGCGTGTGTGCGTCTGCGCTAGCCAACACTGCCGCTGCAAAAACCTGTCATGACCTCAGTGCTGCTCTGACTGTCATCTGAGTGACGACTCATCTGTGAAGGCTGTGCAAACGTCTTAGCATCTCTGAGTTATGGATCGTGGATCGATTATTAAAACCTTCACCTCTTAACGTGCTCATGAATTATAACAGGAACCAGTTTAATGGTTACCACAACAGGCTGCCTCTTGGAGGCGCCAAGTATGTGGTTCCTCTGGGGCTTGAGCGCCAGGACCTTGAAGTGATTCATTCTTGGTTCTGGGTACTAACATTTGCACAGTAGGTTACAGCAGTGTTTCCCAAACTTTGTTTTTTTTCTGGGGACCCATATTTTTTAAAAGTCACAAACCTTCACGACCCAAGTCAAGTCAAAACTCTTGCGACCCACCTGAGGGTCGCGACCCAGTCTTTGGGAAACAGTGAGTTACAGGATACTGGTCTGGCCTCTACCAGAGCCGAGTGTCAGAGATTTGACACTGAAAAACTGGTTAATGTTGCACTGCATTTGTAAAGCTATTATGAGCATGTTAAGAGGCACAAAAACATTTCACAAAATTCCGACCCAGTTTGGTACAAATATATATTTTTCCAACAGTAACTGGTGGCCCTGGAACAACTGCCTCCCCTACCCCCCCACACACAGCCTCTTTGAAGGCACGTTCTCCTCCAGCGACACTCTGCCGTGACCACTTCTTTGCAGACAAACGTTTATATTCAACAGCAAAGATGCATGTTTCAGCCTTCACCCCTTTCTTCTTTTCCTCCTCCCTTCCTATGCACTTCATCCTACCTTGGGCTGTCGCCTTGTCTCTCTCCTCCTCTCCTCCCCTTCTCTCTTCTTTACCCATTCTTCAGCTACCATTGAGGCCATAGAAGCCATCGAGACAGTTAAGGACGATGAAGGTAAAGTCTCACTCATTTCACTGTGCGTGTGTGTGTGTGTGTGTGTGTGTGCAGCATGGATGAGCTCTCAGCCATCCATGCTCACCTGATCATAGAGTTCCTAACCCACAATGCACTTTGCTCTTCTAACCACATCAGCGCTTCCAACAAAGCTGAACCTGCTGCGAGCAAAAGAAAAAAAAATCACATACTTTTCTGCCGCTCCGGAATGTATCTACTCTACCAACACACACACACAAACATTTTCTCATACACAGGGCTCAGGAAGAGCAGGAGTGTGGGTGGGATCGGGAGGGGGGGGTCACTCAGCCCTCCCTCGTCTCCAGTCTGTTACAGTCTCTCTCTCTCTCTCTCTCTGCATTTCGTAGATGCTGTAGTTCTGTAGATGATGGACATGTGATCAATCTGTTCATCAACGCTCACTGACGACCGCAAATACGAAAAGTTTTTTTTTTTTTTTAAATCTCTTTTAAATGATTCTGTAATCAAAGAAACAGAAATTCTGATTTCATTTCATCGTCTTCTGGTGAAGAACCCTGAGGTCCAGTATTTGACAACTTCACTCCACAAAAACCAAAACAAGACTGCTTTTAGAAGAGGTCCAGGTCCAGGTCCAGGTCTAGTCGGTCCGGTGCTGATGAACAGATTGTCATCATGTTATTATTTTTATTTTAATTTCTATATTTTCGTCCACGTACATGAGTTTCTCTGCATTATTAGTTAACTGTAATTTTTTTTTTGTTTTTTTTACGTTTGTAATTTAGTGCTGTCGTAGGTTTACATCAACGACTGTCCATAATTTATTCAAGCTGATGAATTATGGGTATTCCTTCACTGATGTTTCTCTGTGCTGTATATTGATTTGTAGTCGGTGTTGGATGTCCACTGTGAAACTGTAGTAGTACTAGTATACACTGTAGTACATGGTATAATATACAGTATTTAGAAACTGTGTGTGTGCTGTACAAATGTTTCATGTTTAACGTTTTATTCCCCGCTCATTAACGGATCACGACCGAAACAAACGTGGGCCACGTTCAAACCGACCGGCAGTTTGGATGCACGACATTTGATATTTTGGAATTCTAACTCTGCTCCTGTTTGTCTACCCGTGTGTGTGTGTGTGTGCGCAGCCATCCGAGGCTTCTCCCCGCAGCATCGGATCAGCAGCTTCGAGGAGGCCAAAGGTCTGGACCGGATCAACGAGAGGATGCCGCCTCGACGCGACACCGTTAACAGTGTGGGCTTGTCGATGGGCCGCATGAACATGGGCGAGCCCAACGGGACCGACAGCAACAGCAATATACAGTGATGGAGCCGGCGTCCCACAGACACACTACCCTGGATACTACACTGATCTGGTACCACATTTAGAGATACCTGTACACAGGCATATGTAACACTACAAGAAAAACATCACGCACACGCAGTATTTCACACACACACACATATGCAGTCATACACAGATAACTACCCACCCCCTTTCCTGTTGCCCTCAGCTCCATGTAAAGGCATGAACTACCTGGACTTTACCACCAGAGGCTGAGTCTCATCACTCATCAGCCATATTTAGACAACTTTAACCCACGTGTACCTGCACACGCGCAGGACAAACAGGAGGAGGTGCTGCCGTTCACCGAGCGCGGGGACCCTGACCGTGACCGCGGGTCAAGCGTTTGCGTGTAGAATGGGCGAGTACGGGGGTGAGGATCAAGGGTGGGGATGTATAAAATGTGCTATTTTTCCACCTCTCTGCTGCCCTCTACAGGACAGGGCAGGAAAGGACAGCAGACATGTGATAGGGTTCCTGTGCCTGTGTGCACACGTCATGTAAATGTCCCAGTGGTTGTGTACCAAAAAAAAAAAAACTCCTTTTCTTTCGCAAACGCAGCTGATGTTGCCAACGAGCAGACGGCGTTAAAGAATCATTTCCGGTTGTGTGTTGCGGCGACCCCTGAGTCAGCCAGAGGTCAATCGGCTGCGGCCTAATCTGAGCCCTCGCTGAGCGTTTCTTCTCTGGAGAAGATTTACATTTTACTTTTGTAGCACTGCACTGTTACCCTGAAGTCAAGAGGACACTCCCCCACCTCCCCAGCCTCACCCACCCTTACCCACCAACCCTCCCCCCGACCCCCTTGTTATCACCAGGTGAAGGCCTTCGTACTTGTTGGTGTGTAAATGGGGAAACGCAGCGAGGCTTATCGGTTGTTTCGTGTGACACGTGCGGTCACATGACATGGCGGGGGCATCAACGTGCTGCCGATGGTCGAGTGAGTGACGGGGGCCGATAATGTGAAATCATACACTCTTCCTTCGTTTTCTACATCGTCTTTCCTTCCTTCCTTCCTTCCTCTCTTCCTTCCTTCCCTCCCGTGTTGCCGTCCTCGGCCAATCAGCAGGGACCGCTGCAGTCTCCTATCCTAAAGTGCAGGAAACGACCTTTCACGGAGAGGAACTAACTCTTCTGGTGAAGGTAGAAGTGGAGGCGAGGAGGAGGATTCTGGGAAAGGTCTTTGTAAAGCATTTATAGTAACACACCAGTGCATGCAGAGTTAAGTTCTTTGATAACGATGTGAAGATTATATTTGTGCTGTGTTTCACTATGGTAGGACAAAATTTTCTCTTGTTTTTCTGGTTAATATAAATGAACTGAGGAATAATGAATTATTTATTTTGTACATAATGTTCATTTATTTTTCTTTTCTATTAATTTAGTGTTACATTTACACTACATATACATTTTTATTTTTTTTGGTTTTCTCCACGAACCGGAGTTTCTGGTTCCTTTGGACGCTGTACAGAACAACAGCGCGCTTCTATTCGCCGCGTCCACCGCACTTCATCTCCTCCCTTCGACGTCGATGTACAGGACTTTGTTTTTAAACCATGAAATGATGATTAACAAATATTAAAAACGAGCATTGGTGAATGACCATACTATATACGAGGCACAGGCGTTCAGGCGGCCAAAAGCATGATTGCATGGTTAAAACTTGCTGTTCGGAGCCAAAAGCAGCAAAGACACATTTTAACAGAAGAGCCGACGAGTTGACGGCACACGACAAACGTGTATTCTCTCTCTCTCTGATCATAATTCTTGATGATTCCTCTCGTTATTTGATGACATTTATGATTCTATGATTATTATGATTCTATTTATTATAGACATTCTTAATATTTAAGCTCACCCTCTCTCTCTCTCTCTCTCTCTCTCTCTCGGTTGCATTGCTCCTTGGTTGACCTCTGCTTCTTTGGGAGAGTTGGCCCTGTGCCATAGGAATTGCTCTACGGCTCTCTCTCTCTCTCTCTCTCTGACTCTCTCTGTCTCTCTCTGTCTCTCTCCCTCCCTCTGCTCTCTTTGTTTCTGGTTTGACTCCCCCACAGTCACTAACACTGTAAGCATGCCCAATGGGACAATTCCACTTTTTTTACTCTTGAATAAAATATGCATGAACCTTTGGTTTCGATACTGTGCTTTTATTTGTTTTATAAACTGCGGTATGGAGATGGCCACAAGAGGGCAGGCTGGTTAAAAAAACGTAAAAAGTCATGTTTACTATGCATTTTGATAAATCGGTTCAGGAATACTAATTTAATTTGATTCGTATCTATTAGAATCTCTAACAAACCGAAGGAAGAGGACGAAAAACTTTTAAAAAAAATAAATAAATAAAATCAACGACAAACTTCCAGCACTGAGTGTGTTCAGAGCTGTGGGCGAGCAGGGAGAGGTGTTAGAGAGTGTAATATAGCAGAGTTAGACTGAGATCCACTTTAAAACTGATATAACTGATTCATGTAAATAAGATTAGGGGCAGATGAATGTGTCTGTCTTCAGGAGGAGCTGCAGCGTGGAGCTACCTGTGCTCTAATTCACTTCTTATTGCCTGTGTGGCCTCGGAGAAGCAGAGCGCTGATCTAACTCCTCTTTGATCAGATTTACAAAGATTTCACATCTGAAATGCGGCAGAGAGGGAGAAACGACAGACTCCAGGAAAGTTGTCTGAATATATTGTGGGGTTTTTTGTTTGTTTGTTGTTGTCATATCAATGGGTTCTATATTTATTGATTTGGACGCAATGAATCAAAGAGAGGTTTCACTTTAAGCTTTTATTTTGAAGGAGAGAAAAGACGAGGCCACAATATTATATTACAACTATATTACAATATTAACCCTGTCTGTGGAAACCGATTAAAACAGTTTTTTGTTAAATATAAAACTGTTTTTAACTAACAAGTTCATTTATTCCTCTAAAATTCAGTTAGTGTTACAGATGAAAATCATTGTTATGACGCATCGGCACCACCTCCTGGTTGAAGTCTGGTAACTGCACTTTCTAATCTACACCTTTATACTGTATCTATGTGTGAACAGAGAAAACACCGTGTCACATTATTCAACGATTCTGCCTGTGTTAAAATTCTTTATCAGATTAATTATACAAATTAATTGATGTCATTTACATATTTATTTTGACAGAACTACTTTGAACACTCCCAAAAGGTAAAAGAAAGTACACTTATAATGACAGGGTTTATTTATTTATTTTATTTAGAGTCAGACGACAGAGTGACTGTAATGTAAACAGGGGTTTGTTTGTTTTATGACTAAGCAGTCACATGATCGCATGACATCATCAATCTGCATGTCACACACACACAAACACCTCCTGAACTGAAACAGCTCCCTGACGTTGCATCAGATTTGTTTTTCCTCCTCAGGTTAGTGAGTGTTTACTCACAAGTCCTTAAGAATATACAACAACTCATATATATATATATATATGCACAACATTTTTAAACCAAACCGCTCAGAAGTACAGTACACACTTGTTTTTGGTGAATAAATTCGCAGTACTCGTTGGTAACTTCAGTTTCATGCCGCAGTACTGACAGAAGAAAGAAAAACAATGCACCTACGTCACATCCTGTGTCATTAACAGGCATATTATCCATATAAATGTTAGAATCTGGCCTAAACAAATTCAACAAACTGTAAACAAACTGGCCAACGAGACAAACCACAGCATGTAAACACAACCAGCATCGTTTTACAAAACATTACATTTCCACAAGAATTACGGACGTAGAAGCAAAACAAAAAAAAAGCCAAAGTTGTACTAAACATTTGAAAAAGAGTTTCTTACCTTTGCTGTTTTGTCTGAAAAAAAAAA